GTCTCCCTCTCTCTCTCTACCCCTCCCCCACTCATGCTCTGTCTGTCTCAAAAATAAACATTAAAAAAATTTTTTTTTCATAAAACTTTTTTTTCCTAAAGATCTTACCCTTTTATATTGAAATTCAGATTCAGATATCAATTCTCTTATTCCTCATATAGTTGCCATAAATTTTTTTTAATAAGTCCCAAATTGCTATAAAATATAAATATTCAGTGCTTACTATTTCCTCCTTATTCCCTTCTCTAAGAAATTCTAATTTTATTCTAGGCAACTAGATAGTTGTATCTCCTTTCTCACCCCAATTTAATATTTGAGTTGAATATCTCCATTAAATATCTGATACAGTTCTATACTTAGCTATATTCATAATCTGTATGGAAAAAGCTAGCAGTATTTGGTTCACCAGTTTATGAGAGATCCTTCTCATACCATTGAGGTCTGACCAATATAACATAATGAAAAAAAATGGGGACCCTGTAAAAGATGTCATTCATGTTTTAGTTTTGAACAAGCTAAGTTTCCAACAGAGAATGACATATGTGTTACTTGTCTTAAATGAATTGCAGTATATCCCTATGGTGGCCCTAACATTGTCATTTAATTTTATGCTTATAAAAGTTTTTAAAATATGATAAAAAAATATTTCAGTGAAAATCATATGTTCTGGAAGGTTGTAACTTTGGGAAACCAGAGAAAACATGTATCAAAGGAAGACAACTGGAAAATGCAAAAATGTGCTTATCTGTAGGCTTTAGGTTTGGGTAGCTGGTGTTTGCCAGGCAGATAAAGGTGTTAGGGAGGGTAAAGCAAGAGCTCAGAGCTGTGAAAATCCACCAGTTGGTTTGGGATTGTCAATGAAGCTATTGAGGTTGTGCTCCAACATACTCTATGAGTTAGTGTGTGTCAGCCATTAACCTTGCTTGACTGGATAGATCTTTATTCTTACACCTTTGTGATTGTTTACTTAAATCCACTCATTAATGTTTATAAAACAATTTTTTTGTGAAAAAAAAATCCAGTGTAAAAAAAAAAAACAAAAAAATTATTAGCCTAATAGTACTAAAAAACTATTAGTACTCTTGCGGAGATTAAGTTACCAGCATTCATTACTGCTTACCATTGCATAAACCACTACTTGAGGAGGCCTGTTTGCAGGGCCAGTTTTCTGCAATCATTATCTGGTTTGAACAACATTATGATGTACCTCATTTTATCACGAAGTACTAATGCATTTCTGTCTTTCTTCCTCTCAAGATGAAAGAAAATTTTGGCATTGATTCCCTACCCTCCATGCCCTCATCTGAAGGAAGCAGTCAACAAGGCAGATTTGATGATCTGGAAAATCTTAATTCATTAACACAAAGCAGTCTGGATTTAGGTTTGTGGTTTTTGTTTCTCATAAACACAAATGACATTATTTTGCAATCTTTCAGCTTTGTTTTTATAGACGATAAGTCTTACTGTCCTATTTTCATTCATAATGATGCAAATTTAAATGTTTATTAATCTGCTTCAGAATATCTGGAAGAATAAACCTGGCTCATATTTCAACATAGAACTTAAGATTCTCTTTTCTGAAAGGGCTATATTTTCAATGCCTGATTTTGCTTTTTATAAGCAGTGTGGATTAAACTAAAACTAGTACCTTATGTGCTAAGTTTGAAATAAGTCTCTACTAATATATATTAAAACCTCTGATGCTATTAAGTGATACTGTTAGCTCATTGAATGAGGTTGTTAAATATTAATAAAGAGAGTCATATTTTAAACATTTATGAAACATTTTTATAGCCATATATTATGGTCAATTTTGGTGCATTAATAACTTAGTTTCCATTAAAGAATCCTAAAAGTATAGTGCCTCTCCTTGCCTACCCCCAATATTGACTCTTACATAATTTTGAAAACTCAACTGTGAAAAATAATTTTTCTTCATCCAACACTGAAATATCAAAGGCTGTTATATTATTGAGATCCCTAGGTAAGACTGTTAAGTTCTTTCACAGCACTGGGATTTATAGAGCCATTGTTCAGGATTTATGCTGTCCTTCATGTGTTATGACTCTGCTTATAGGAAAAGTCTTTCTCTGGACAATTCTCATGTTGTATGGTAATACATTGGAGGGGATGGAGTGCATTATAGAAAGCCATGTAATGGTTTTTATGAATTCAGCATTCTGTTGAGTAAAATCCAGAGAATGGAGTCATTAGCAGTAAAGATTCAAGTCCTCTCTGAGATGATAAATAGTTGTCAGTTCCGAGTCAAAATAGAGCATGGGTAGTTAATTTTGAATATCTAAGATTTGATGAGTTTATCCAGTTTTTCATGACGTATAACCGATTGTGACTAGGATAAAAATGGGACTTTTCCCCCCAAAAGTGTTCCATTAAACTGTTTTAAAATTTTTTATCAAATGTCCATAGTCGTTTAAGTACTTAGAGAAGATTTACTGCACAAATGAATGAATAATTGAATTAATAGGCCATATCTGTTTGATCGCCACTGATACTTTATAGCAATGTCATTACTATTTTGGACCAGATGATTCTTTATGGTGGAGAGCTGACCTGTGCTTGGTAGAATGTTAATAGCTTCCCTGCCTTCTAACTCTGATGCCAGTGGTACTCACATTCCCAGGCCTGATCAAGATCACATGTCTTCAGACACTGCCAAATGTCTCCTGGTGGGGGCAGAGTTGAGAATCACTCACTGCTCTACACTGTCAGGATTGAAAGGATAAACTGGCTATATGGGGTGGGTGTTTGTGGGGAAGAGCAGCAGAGTTGGGAAGAAGACGGAGAAGGTAGTTCCTCTTGAGCTCTGCTCTGTGTATTATCTAAATGGCTCCAAAATTACTTCTGACCTCTACTGGCTCTCGAAGTTTTCCAGGGCTGCTGTAGCAAATTGTCACAAACTTGGTGGCTTAAAACAACAGATATTAATTCTCTCACGGTTCTCAAGGCCCAAAGCCCTAAATCAAGGTGCTGTGCTCCCTCTGAAGGCCCTAGGGAATAATCTGTTCTTTTCCTCTTCCGGCTTCTGGTGGCTCCAGCCTTCTTTGACTTGTGGCTGCATCACTGTTATGTGTGCCTCTGTCTTCACACGGCTCTCTTCTCTTGACCTGTGTCTTCTATTCTTTGTCTCCTATAGGGACATCTGTCATTGGATTTAGGGCCCACTTGGGTAATCCAGGATGGTCTCATCTCATGATACTTAAATGTATCTGCAAAGACCTTTTTTCCGAATAAGGTCACATTGACAAGTTCTATGACTTGGATGTATCTTTTAGAGAGGTCCCCCCATTATGCCCTCTACTCTGCCTCAGTCTGATACTTTACAAGGATCTGGGAATTTATTTTAATAGAGATTATAGTTTTGGGAATGAAGTTAAACTTGTATATCTTAGATCTGTCCTCACTGGAAATGCATTCATAACCACATGCTTTTAGGAAAAAATTTTGAAAGCCTCTAGAATGCCATGTGGCAGGCATGACTATTTGGATTAATGCTAACTGTGGGTAGGCTGAGAAATTATTAATACAGAGTCGATACAGATTTCAGCAGAATACATATTGAATTTATTCTAGTCAGAGTTTGATTTTGCTCTTGAGATCCTTTCCAGCAAAGGGCTGACTCTTAGTCCCACGTCCCTCTGTACAAAGCAGGTACCCTGCTGTGTCACCAGGCAATCCCGCCAGCTTCTCCTAAGTAAACTCCCCTGGGCTAAGTATTCTCTAAGCCCTCTTTCAAATCTGTAACTCTTTGACCTCTTTATTAGTATCAGACAGTTTTAGGTTTATCTCTGAACAATTAAATTTCTTTTTCTGAGCAATAAATTTAAAAATTATTTTTGAGAGGGGCGCCTGGGTGGCACAGTCAGTTAAGCGTCCGACTTCGGCTCAGGTCATGATCTCACAGTCTGTGAGTTTGAGCCCCACATTGGGCTCTGTGCTGACAGCACAGAGCCTGGAGTCTGCTTCAGATTCTGTCTCCTTTCTGCCCCTCCACTGCTCACGCTTTGTCTCTCTCTCTCTCTCTCAAAAATAAACATCAAAAAAAAATTATTTTTGAGAACCTTATATGTGAAGAGCTATTCTTGACCCTATATTTAGTCCAACATTATGTAGCTTCTAAGAGCCTTTACTCTTCATGGGCTTTGAAAATAAACCTATAATGAGCATAATTAGTAAGGTAAAGTTTACAAGATAAATTCCAAATCAATAACACATTTAGTATTACAACATTTCAAAAGGTTTCTGACAGAAGGTAGTTCTGATTCCTAATCTTTGACTGCCCCTGTCTGGATGGTGCCCCCAGGGAACCCTGGATGATTCTCTGTCATTGCACTCAAGGGTCAGGCACACATACTCATTTGCATGCCTACCTCTTCCTATAAATTAAGCTTCTGGAGGGCAAGGCTTGTATCTGATTTTTGTTACCGTAGTAGGTGCTCAAGAAATATTTGTTGAATGAGAGAGTGAAATGCTGCTCATGTGTGGCTATTCAACAACATTGCAACCCCCAGCCCTCCCTCCCTCTGGCAGCGGCCAAGTTATACAATAACCCACCCTCCTCTTTACTTGGATTCTCGTTGCCTTTATTTTGTTGACCATTCTGTTCTTGTTCCTTACCAAGTATAAACCTTTTGAAAGTCTCCCCCATTCCTCTCCTATAAACATTAACCTCCATTTGTCCAGGAAAATTTTTTTTAGCTTCTTTGTTTTTCTAACCTTTGTGCTCCTATTATGGCCCTTCCCTAACAACTGCATAGGTCCTCGAGGACTTGATTTGTTTTATGGGCTCTGGGAACTGCAGTGCACTTGGCGAACAGCTCTGTAAAGTGTGAGTGTGTCACGCACTGTGACAGATGAGAAATGCGTGCCTGAGCACCAGCACCCAGGGTCCATGGAGGAGGAGTGGGGCAAAGGGCACGGCAGCCTTTCTGTGGAACAGGTAATGAAAAGTTTTAAACAAACTGCAGCAACCTGTGAAACCCAATGCCATAATTTAACAGTCTGCTTTTACCAGTGTGGGTGGATGAGAACCAGCTCTGCAAATAAAGCCAGTTCCCTCTTCTTAACACTGGTTTCTGGCCATTCCGGCCAGAATCTAGTCCCACCCCTGGTCCCTCCTCAGTGGGGAAGAAGCAGACATAGGCCAAGCTAGAACTCTCTGGCATCGAGATGGATTAGAGAGCTTTGCAGGAATGGAGGCCCCAGAGAATAGGAGTGAAGGGTGCATAGGGATGGGGGACAGACCCTGAGACTTCTTTAACACAACCTGAGCATTAAAGTTAAATTCACTCCCTCTTCAGATTCTGTTGCATTACCAACTGATTAGACCCCAGTTCCAAAGTTTCTAGACAAGATAAAAAGCAGTAGTAGTGAGTTTACTAGAAAATTTGTTCATTATGAAGAAATGGGAAGAGTTGAGGTAATGCTTATAGGAAAAGTTTTAGGATAATACCTATATCTTTTAGAAATAATTTGTGATTTTCTGATTAGGCAGAGCTCCAAAAAATACTATAAATGTGTGGATTTAAGGAAGACATTTGATCACAATTCATCATATTTGTAATATGCTCAAGAAGGATTGGCTGAGAATCGGGTGTATCCTAAGAGTGATTAATAGACCTATGCCAGTAAGGGTCCTATGAGTCGTAGGACTCTATGCACAACTCTGCCCCAGTTATTCTTTTTTTCAGGAAATGTGGAAATAACACAGATGGCATGTCAGGTAAACTTGCACATTCCATTTGGCAAAATTCCTTAACTTGAATTTCTCCATCTATAAAATAACAGTTGTTAGTATCTTTTCTAACTCATAGTTTGACACGAGAATTAAATAGGTAACAACTGTAAAAGAATTATGAAATTTGTAAACAAAACCCCTTTAAAAATCTGTTTTCTTAACCTGATGAGCACCGGGTGATGTATGGAGTTGTTGAATCACTATATTGTATACCTGAACCAATATAACAATGTGTGTTAACTACACTGGAATTAAAATTAAAACATTTTTTGATGTAAGATTTTTTATTTGGTTATTTGTCATTCTGTGAAATTATTTTGTGTGTGTGATGAGGACTTCTAAGATCTATTAAGTAACTTTCAAATATGCAATATAATATTTCTTTAATGGTTGTTTACTTTTGAGAGAGAGAGAGAGAGAGAGTGTGTATGGCGAGGGGCAGAGGGAGAAGGAGACACAGAATCCGAAGCATGCTCAAGACTCTGAGCTGTTCAAGTCCAGCATGGGACTTGAACTCACAAAATGCGAGATCATGACCTGAGCTGAAGTCAGATCCTCAACCGACTGAGCCATCCAGGCACCCCTTATTTATTTATTTATTTATTTATTTATTTATTTATTTATTTATTTATTTATTTTAATAAGTGAAATGCAGGAGTGCCTGCAGTTGGGACAGCTGAGGTTGATAAGGGAAAATGTGTAGTGAGATTAGAATACCATCATTAAGGGGATTCTTTTGATAAAATATTTATATTGCTAAAATGTCCTCTTTTCAGTAAGGCCATGTGTGAAATGCAACTCTCTTCCACTGAGGAGTCCCTGTCCTCCTTCCTTCCTTTATTTTTCACCATCTGACATATTAAACATTTTGCTTAATAAGATTTCTACCTAGAAAAGGCCTATTTGTTGAATGAATGAAGGCTAAATGAAAGCATCTTGTGTTCACTATCATCTGGGTTTGCTGTGTAGGTATGATGATTCCAGATGATGCCCAAGGTCCTGGCTTGCTTGTTGAACTTCCTGCTGTGGCTCAAAGAAGGGAGCAAGAAGATTTGCCTTTATATCAACTCCCCAGGACTCGAGTTGTTTCCAAGACCTCGGCATACACAGGAACACTGTCTTCTAGATATACCACTGATGCATGGTATGATACCATTTATCTTTGTTTTCACATTATAAAGTAGTCTGGTTTTTTTGCTCTTATAAAAAAAATGCCCTATAGTAGACAATTACTAAGAGATTAGGAGTTTCACAACATAAGCAAGACATACAGACAAATTAAGGAGGGAGTGGATTTAAGAGAGAATTTGTTGGAATTGGTGACTAATAACGTGTGTCAAGGTGAGAGGACATAGTTGAGGGTGACTTGTGTCTCTGGATTAGGACAATAAATGCATTGCCGTGCCATTAATTCTTTAACAACACTGTAGGAGCAAAGGAAGCAAACTCAGTGTTCAATGATAGATGAATGGATAGAGAAAATGTGGTGTATAAGAAAGAATTAAGTGCTGCCGTTTTTAACAATATGGATGGACTTAGAGGGTATCATGCTAAATGAGGGAGGTCGAACAGTGCAAGACAAGTGCCATACGATTTCACTTATATGTGGAATCTACAAAGACAAAACAAACGAACAAACAGAAACTGTCTCCTAAACACCGAGAACAAACTGGAGCGGAGGGGAGTGGAGGTGGATGGATGAAATAGGTGAAGGGGATTAAGAGTCACAGACTTCCAGTTATAAACTAAATAAGTCACAGAGACAAGTATAGCATGAGGAATGTAGTTAATATAATTTTTATGATGACAGGTGGTAGCTACACTTATGGTGAGCGTTTCGCAACGTATAGAACCATTGTATCACTGTGTTACACACCTGAAACTGATATAACATTGTATGTTATATTTTAATTAAAGAAAAAAGTTTATAGGAGCATGAACAGGTTGTAAGGGAAAACGAATTCAGTGTGGGACAAGACGAAGGTTCCAGTATCCATAGGACAACAAAGCGAAGTGGAATCAATTAGGTGTGTGATTCTGGGGATTCACGTTGGTATCTATCCTGATGTTAATAATTGGGAGCAAGATCAAGTGTAGGTGAAACTGCTAGATTTGAATAGTCATCCAGGGTAAGCTCAAATACTAAGAAGAGCATGGGACCAAAATTAGAGTCTTGCAGAGCAGCAATATCACAAGTAAGAATGGAGGCAGAAAATAGTGAAATGGAGTGAACAAAATGTCACTCAGAGGAAATTAAACCTAGAGGTTGTTGTAGAAACCGGACAAGAGAACATTTTACCAAAGGTTTTCACAGACCTTCATTATGGCCTACGGAGAGGTCAGGGCAGATGAAACGGAAAAGTTTACTTGGGGTTTGGCCACACGGATGCACTAGGTAAGCATAGAACAATTTAAGTAAAATAGAAATCAGAGAGTAGTAGGTTGAGAATTGAACAGGTCCGAAATTGGGCATAGTAAGTCCAGTGAGACTAGTGTTTTCAGAATCCAGGTCATGAAAAGAGACAGAATGCTTATCATCTAGATAGCTAGAGGGTATTTTTGGATTGAGGTAAAGAAGAAGAGGTTATGCATACGTAATTACATATATATTGATATATGTATTGTGTGTGTGTCTTTCTGGGAAAGATCCAGCAAAGAAATATGTAGATGCTGGAAAGGAAGTTATTAAACACAGTCCCTAGAGAGAGGAGAAGGAGAGAAAGACATTGCACACCTAGAGAGATTAACCTTGGGTGGTTAATCCACAGACACAGGTGCCAGGAATGAAAGCAAAGTACAAATGCAAGTGCTATTTGTATCCTGTAGATAGGAATCCAAAGAGATTTTTTATTTTTTGTATTTTTTGTCATTTAGGTAAAGATTATTTGAAAAGAGTGATAAGGTGGTAGTAATGTGTACATTAAAAGTAGAGGTGTCACTTTTGAAACAAGGGTAGGAGAGTAATGGCATAGTGGTTGGTGGAAAGCAGTTTAGAAAAATCTTGCTCCCTGCCCCCCACCTTCCAACTTCCCAAGGTGAGAGAGTATCATTCACTTGAACATAGTATCTGTGGCAGAGAACCAGAAGCTGTTGAGAGAATGTTTGGTGAAGAGGTCAGAGTGTGGAGTAGTTTCTTGACAATTCAAGGAGATTCCGTGGAGTGTGATGGGTAGTTTGGCCTGGGGGCGGGGAGAGGGGAAGGGGTATCGGTGGAGTGTATGAGAATGGAAGGAGAAACCAGAGCAGCAAGGAAGGAAGGAGTTGGAGGTGTTGGCCAAGCATAACAGGGATGAGAGATAGGGTGGATTTATTGGCCTTCGTGTTTTTATTAAACCTTTAGTCCAAGAATGATTTTGTACTGACATATGAAGTGTCTTAGAATGATATCACTTCTCCATTCAGCAACCTGTGACCTTTGACCCTTTTTATTGACCTTTACATTTAATTTTATTTATTTTTAAGATTTATTTCCAAGTAATCTCTGCACCCAGTGTGGGGCTTGAACTCAAAACCATGAGATCAAGAGTCCTGTGCTCCACCAACTGAGCCAGGCAGGTGTCCCTCTGCCTATAGTTTTAGACAGAAACTTCATATTGCAAAAAGTTGGTCTCTGTGCTTCAGCAAAGCTCCTTTCTGAGTGTAAAGGAAAAGACTCCGAGGTTCCTGGCTGGCTCAGTCAGTGGGGCATGCGATTCTTGGTCTCAGGGTTTTGAGTTCGAGCTCCATATTGGGTATGGAGACTGCTTAAAATAAAATTAAAAATTAAAAAAAAAAAAGGAAAGACTCAGATAAGCTCAACCACTTGGAGAAATCTGGCTTTTCATTCAGCAGAACTGGACCAGTGTTCAGCAGGGAGGTGCTGACAGGTCCTTTGTCCTGGCGTGAGCAATGTAACCAAGCTCCTGGGGAAATGCATAGTATTAAACAGGCAATAGGTTTGTTTCTTCAGGAGGGATGGTTGCAGATGGAAGTACTGGAAGGCTTAAAAATATAACTTTATAGGGGCACCTGGGTGGCTCAGTCAGTTGAGCATCCGACCTGGTCAGTCTGATCTGGAGTTCAAGCCCCCTGTCGGGCTTGTGCTGACAACTCAGAGCCTGGAAGCACTTCGATTCTGTGTCTGCCTCTCTCTCTGCCCCTCCCCCACTCATGCTCTGTCTCTTTCTCTCTGTCAAAAATAAATAAACATTTAAAATATATATATGTATATATATATATAATTTTATGACTTATTTTAAATTTATTTTTAATTGTTTTAATGTTTATTTTAGAACGGGTGGCCAGTGGGAAAAGAAGGCAGAGAGAGAAGAACACAGAATCTGGCACAACTGCAGCTCTGACTGTTAACACAAGCCCGATAATGAGCTCAACTTATATAATTTTGTAGATCATGACCTGAGCCAAAATCAGCCACTTAACCAATTGAGCCATCCAGGTGCCCCTGACTTTTTTTTTAAATTAAAAAATTTTTTAAGTGATCTCTACACCCAATGTGGGTCTCAAACTCACAACCCTGAAATCAGGAGTTACATGCTCCAGTGACTCAACCACCCAGGTCCCCCTAATTTTGACTACTTATATGGTCAAATTACTTTTCAAATGAGACCGTTTTATTTTTTAAATTTCTCTTCTGCTTGGTGTCAATAATTAAATCTCACAAAGAATTCGGAAATGAGACGGCTTTTTTAAAGGTGTAGAACTGTAATTGGAAAATATCTAAACAAATTTCCAAAACCACCCCCCCTTTCTTATGCAGAAGTCAAAATGGAACATCCATTCTGTCTTACTCAGTTCTTACCACTTTCAGAAAGGGAAGATACACTTTACTCCTACCTCATTCCTTTCTTATTCTCCAGAGGTAACTTTGACAAGCTGATTTCTTATGTGGGCGCAGGCATTCAAGAGTTTCAACCTAACTTTTGAGAGCTCAGTCTTGCATTTGAATGTTGTTTTTTTGACTTGCTGTTATAGACTCAGGATATATTAAAATTTTAGCAGGTAATAGAAGAGTTCCTGTAAGTCATGTTTCCCCCTTTTAGTCTTTAAAGGTATGTCCCGTGGAGTTAGGTTCATAGGTGAATATTTATTGCCACTTCGGAGCTTTTCTGAGTAATGCATAGATTCTTTTGGAAGACAGTCTTTCAGATCAGGGTATCATGAAGTGCTAAATGATAGTTTAGAGTTTCTACTTTGCATTAATTTTGGTGTAGAACCCAGCTAAGTTATTTAATGTACACTGTGCTTCTGCATCCCATTGACTTCCCTGTACCTTTAGAGGCCTAATTTTTTGTTTGTTTGTTTGTTTGTTCTAAGATTAAATTTAAAGGGGGCCTGTAGTGCAATGGATAATGTGTCTGACTACAGATCAGAATATTTATTCAATTTATTTAAACTCAACAAAACAGGGGTACCTTGGTGGTTCAGGTGGTTAAGCATCCAACTTTGGCTCAGGTCATGGTCTTGTGGTTGTGGGTTTGAACCCCGTGTCTGTCTCTGTGCTGTGCAGACAGTTCAGAGCCTGGAGACTGCTTCGGATTCTGTGACTCCTTCTCTTTCTGCTTCTCCCCCGCTCACATTCTGTTTTTTCTCTCTCTCTCTCTCTCTCTCTCCCTCTCAAAAATAAATAACATTTAAAAAATAATAAACTAAAACAACACAAAAACAATTCACCCATTTCTATCTCTCACCCCCTGCCTCTTGCAACTACCAATATGTTGTTGTCTGTATCTGTGAGGGTTTTTTTGTTGTTGTTGTTTATTTTATTTTTAATGTTTATTTATTTTGAGAGAGAGAGAGGGAGTATGCACACAATGGGGGAAGGGTTGAGAGAGAAGAAGGAAAGAGAGGATCTCAAGCAGGCCCTGTGCTGTCAGCCGGGCTTAATCCCATGAACCATGAGATCATGACCTGAGCTGAAATCAAGAGTTGGACGCTTAACCAACTGAGCCACCCAGGCACCCCTGTTGTTTTAGATTCCACATATAAGAGAGATCATATGGTGTTTATCTTTGTTTGTCTGATTTATCTCACTTAGCATAATACCCTCAAGTTCCATCCATGTTGTCTCAAATGACAAGATTTCATTCCTTTGATGGCTATATAATATTCCATTTTAAATTCCATGATTTCTTTATCAATGGACAC